ACAAAGCCATGAAAAAAAAAAAAAACAGATTTTCCAAGAAGCCTTAAAAGCGGAACCCTAAACTCCACTTTTCATTAATCAACATTACAAAAACAAAAACAAAATATTAATCAAAAGCACATCACGCAGGCACACACACTCTCTAGACCTGTCGCCACAAAAACAGTTCAAAAGATGTATTTTTTAATCAACATTTACAATGATTCAGAAGATAAAGCAGCAGCCCGAAATTGATCCACACAAATACAATAAATGTCCAAAAACTTCAAACACACATTTGCACAACCATACGAAGCATAAAGCATAAGCAATCTCTAAATGTCCTAAAAAAGTAAATCAACATACAAGATTGAGCTACTACTCTCTCAGCCATACGTAAAGGCAATCAAGCAGAAAAAAAAAATGCTAGCACAGGACGCTAGATACAAACGCATACATGAATCTGAAAGCAAACTCAGTGCGACATTGAAGAATATCAAAGGTTAAGAAAATTCACTGACCATTCTCGCTGGTGTCGATGGAGTACACAGCGGCTCCCTTTCTCGCTGGCGGTAGTGAGAGAAATGAAAACCCTAATCGCCAATTACGTAGCTGAAGGTTAGGAGCAAGGGTATTCATGGGATTTTCTTTGGGCTGAAAATATCAACCCCTAGGCCCGAGCAAGTATTTCAGCTTTTGGGCCCAAAGGCCCCAAAGTCGCGGATTAGTTTCATATAGTTTCTGCCAACCATCTGCTTAGAATTGTTAGATATTTGTCTTATCTTGTCGTGTTCGTATTTTGCTATCACGATTTTATATTATTTATTTTTATTTTATTACAATAAATCTAAATGTAACTAGAATTTTGTTCTATGCTTCTCGTGTCATGTCTTATCTTGTCGTGTAGCACGTTTGTTACCTGGGATATGACAAGATTAGCCCTTCAACCTGGCCTTAATCTTATGTTTGTTAAACGCGACTGAGGTCCGGCTGATAACTTTGGGCCCGCGATGCACAGTAAAAAAGTTGTGGGAAACCGCGATAACTTGATCTGGCCTTACCCCCAAGATATTTATTGTCTGTACAATATCCTTTAGCTGAAAAGTCTAAATTATCTTCAATAATAGTACACAAAGTTTACATTATAAAACTATAATATTAAAATTAGACAATAAATTTATGACATCAGTTTGTCTACTTAACACAGTTCTATATAGGTTCATAAATGTAAAAAAATATCTGCAATAATAGTACGTCATGTTACAATTTGTATCATTTTTGAACATTACTCATAAAAAACAGTACGTTATGTTGCAATATTTATCAGTTTTAAGACATTAAATCCAAAAAATAATGAACCATTTTTGGGATAATGTCTCAATAGTGATATGTTGTAGCAAATTATTTTTTTTTTTTTACCGAGTACCGAATCGAAGGATTCGTTCCCCGGATCGATCTCTCGAGGAAGACGGTTCGGAATTTAGCGTTGGTCTTGATCACTCACGAAAAGAAATAAGTCCTAAATACTCTAATCACGATTGATTTGGGGAATCAACTAAAACAAGCTAGAACTAGAAAAACAATTTAAAGAAATAACAATTAAATTTCTAGAGAAAAAGAAGAAGTTCTAGGGGTCGGGAAATCTCATCAAGTCTTAAACTATGTTGAACGCTTATTTGTTCGGTTACGAGATTTAACAAGCCTACACGTCTAGAATTTAAAAACTTACAATCGGTACCTCATGCTTAGATTCAATTTCATGTTAACCGGAATTAAGAACATAAAACCAATCAACAATAATAAAATAGAATTTAAAAACTTACAATCGGATTAAAAGTTGCAAGATTTCAATCCAAATATCTTTGTGTCCAACAATCCAAGCATGAGAGAGAAAAAAAAAAGAAAAACGGAGAAATTTATCCTAACAATATTGAGTTTTTGGAGAGAAAAATTGAAAGGAACGATATTGGGGATTGTTCCTTAGGTCTGGGGGGTCGTTTTGATATATAGTGTGCGAAAAATGGAGCTAAAACGAGTAAAAACGAGCAAAAATAAAAACAGGGTCGGCCCAGTCGCGAGTCGCGACATTGCCTTCTCCTCGGTCGTGAGTCGCGACATCCTCGCGAGTCACGCGTCGTCATTTTTTTAATATTATGGGGCTGGTCGCGACCCAAGTCGCGAGTTACGACTTCGACACGGAACTGCTCCTTAAGTCTCAGTTTTTCTCGCGAGTCGCGACTTTGGTCTCACGAGTCGCGACTTTTCTCACGAGTCGTGACTTTTCTCTCGCGAGTCGCGACTTTGGTCTCACGAGTCGCGACTTTTCTCTCGCGAGTCGCAACTTTGGACTTCATTGCGCAATTTTAAGTTTCGAGCTCGTTTGGGCTGGTCCGAACTCGGAATTGAGTGCCGTTTTTTGCTATGCGTCACCAACGAACCCCTCTATTAGAATATGCGATCGAAACAAACTTTTTCTGAAGAGAAAATTCTCCCGAAGCTCCCGACCTACACACCAAAAACGACAAAAGAAAACCGGAAAAACAAACGAAAAACACCTAAAGACTCAAAATAAAGGAAAACATATAATAAAACACGAAATGGACAAAAAACTAAAGAAACGACCTAAAACGGGGGAAAAAGAAAGATAAAATAAACACGAAAAACGCAACAAAAATGGGACAAACAACTCCCCCACACTTAAACCTTTGTTCGTCCCGAACAAAAAGAAAAGAAAAGATAAAAAAAAACTAAAACCGAGAATGGTCAACGGTTATTAACAAGATAGCCTCAACATGTTCAACTTCAACAATGAGCATTCAAATTGCATATACGAGCATCACACAACTACATGCTTGATCACTATACCTCAACATGGCGTTCTCTCAGTATGGGAATATATATGTGTGCCTCACTCGAATTCTTATACAGATAAAGATAGGTGCGCTCAAATTGGTCGATAACAAGTTCAATCATATGCTTGCCCATTGTCTAACTTCTACTCTAAACCAGTCAAAATCGAAACTAGTTCATCAAAAGGTCTTTCAAGGTTGTAACGTAGGCTCTTTGGTCAAGTAGGATAAATATAGGCTAAGTGGCTCGAATTCATTACATAACTCAAACACCTTACCCCAAGAATGATACACTCAACCGGTTGCACAAACATACCGGATCTTCCCCCACACTTTTTCTAAAACCACACGTTTCACCCATCTTATTTCATTTTTTTTTCTTCTTCTTTTTTTTGTGTAAAACTTATTGGATATTTTATAATCCATTCGGCTACATTTTTTTTCTTTTTTTTTTTCTTTCGATTTTTTTTATGTGCGACCTTTTTTGGTCATTTTTTTTTCTTTGGATAAAGAACATAAACACAACTCCAACAAACAACTCCAACAACCATCCCCTCTAATTATTAACCCGCAACTCCAACAACGTCATCATCACGAGATTATCAACAAAAATTAAATAAGGCTCAAAAAGGGAGACTAGGGAATAATTTGTAGAGAAAGAAAAGGATAGAATACAATAAACGTCTTAATCATATACACAGTTCACAATTCTAATCAATTTATTTCAATGCAGACTCAGGGCAAGTTCTAATCAAACAAGAGGACGACCAATGTATCTCAAGAAACAAACAAGGCTCAAACCTCACTAGGTAGATATATGAATGCCAATCAAAGTAATCGACCAAGCACTTCATCACGCTATGCCTCATATGAACAACATCACAACTCATCCAATTCATCAAACAAGTCTTACCTAATCTTGAAATTTCCAAAGTCCATACTCACAAAAATACACAAAACCTACACTAGACCGATCCACCACATAAGCATGCAACCCACACACTTAAAATGAGGCAATGTCCTCATTGCTTTAACTCAAAACAGGAAGTCAAATACAAGGACAAAACAATTTCACATAATGAACCAAACTAGCAGCTATCACAAAACACAGACTCAAAAGAAAAGACAAGAGAAAGAACAACTCAAAAAGGATAAAAGGAAAAGGGTGTGCAAACCGAAGATGCCTCGAGGAGGATAAGCATCCACGTGCAAGCCGTTCGCTTATGCTCATCCGAAAACCTCGATATTCCTCCTGCTCAAGCTCGCAAACTCGTACCTGCCAAGAAAAACAAAGAACTCCAAAACTCTCATTATTCAAAGATAAAATAAAAGAGCATAAAGAAAAATATCAAGAAAGCAGTAAATCGCTTGGGTTGCCTCCCAAGAAGCGCTTGTTTAACGTCATTAGCTTGACGAAACCTGGGTACAAATCAGCCAGGATCCAGAAAGAAGTGACGATCATGCCATGCCTTCGTGTTCTCCAATAATAGTCCCGATTGTAGTTCAGAACAAAGGCGGGCAAAGAGTAAAACCCTCGTGCCCATGTTCTTATGATGCAGAGCACGGACATCAACAACTACCAAGAGGAGAGATAAAGCATTACGAATCCAAACCCCATAATCGACCTCCAGAAATATGAACATATTCGTGGAGCATGTCGAATCGATCCCTGCCTTCACCAATGCCATCTCCGATGTGTACTCTTCAACTTCAAGTGTCGGGAGCATGTACGTAAACGCACTCGACTCCTCTAAATGCTCACAATCCTCAACAGCATGCGATGACGACCCAAAGGAAATGGGAGCCACCTCATACTCAACATCTCGAGCCGAGTCACCTATCAATGCACAATTTGGTTCAATAACCTCATATGATGACTCGACCTCTTCATCAACCTCATCCTCGTAACAATGGACTACCTTCTCCTCCTCCTCCTCATAAGTGTCCTCCCGAGCTCCTTCAACAACACTCGGCACAATCAAATCCTCTCTTGAATTATCCCCCATGCCATGCACCGTGTCGGCCTCCGAGTACATACACTCAATCTCATTGAAGGACGCAATCATATCCACCAATGTTCAAAACTCGCCCTCCAACCGTGCGCTTTCTCGACAAACCTCCGCCGATAGAGAAGCATATCTACTAAGCCGGATGTGAGATGTGTCCAAGTCGAGGAAGGTAATTACGGTTGAGTCGAATTCCGTTAGTTGATTTTGGAGACCGGATGGAGCGGGAATGATCCCCCAATTGTTAAACTCCTCTACAACCGACATGAGGTTCGCGAGCATGTCTCGAGTATTTGCCAAAACCTCTTGGTGATCATCGGTAGGAACAACCCTTGTTTGACTTGAAGTCTCGGTTCTCAATGCACAAGGTTGGCCAACCGATTGGTTCTCGTAGATAGAAGGTGGTAGAGTGTAAGACTCGGCGTCTTCTTTTTCGGATGGGGACACATTTGAAGTACAAATGGATAGAAAGGATTGATTTAACTTCTCTATTTTCTCAAAAATCTCGTCTATACGGCTCGGAGAAACTACTTGAGTTGGCTCGGGTGGAGGCATTGAATCGAAATATGCGGGAGGCGGAGGGTAGTAGTCGTAGGAAGATGACGGTTGGTAATAAGGCGACTCGTATTGATTCGGAGCGTAATAACCATATCTGCCTTGAGACGTCGGGTAAGAATGGCTCGGACCATACCCTTGGGATGTGATGTATCCGTCATGGTAATAATGATTTGAATGGCTCGGATACGGATTGGGCGGCCCTCCATACGAATACATCTCCCCTTGA